TCAGGCAGGCAGCAGGTGAGCAGTAGAGCCAGCGGTCCTGGATTGTGAGAGGGATGTCCGACTGCCGGTTTAGGCCCGATCCCCAGGAGTCGGGCATCCCCTAAGGGTTCCTGGATTGGAGAGGGTGCAGGCTGGGCTGAGGGGACCCCCCCCCCCTGCACGGATTTCATGCACCAGGCCTCTAGTTAGAGAAATAAGTTTGGGCACACTTAGTATGCCAGTAGTAGTACAAAAGCTGAAGGTGGATGGCAGTGATGCTGATGAGAAAACAAGTGTAGAGAGAGCAAGAGGCTATAAAGACATAATGGAAGCCATCCAAGAAGACCCAACAAAATCAATGAAGTAGGGAGAACCAGGGAGAGTGTGGGGGCGCCAGTTTTGAGTGGACATTGAAGCCATGTAGGCAGCATCCAGACCCAGTGGAGCACACCTCTTATTCTCTCCAACAAGGTGGTATTTGGCCTCTGGTTCTCCTGCAAGTCCACAAAATATCTTTACCCAACCAAGATTTATTAAGCACCAACCAAGTTTCAGTGTCTGTGTTAGGGACGGGGAAAATAATGGTGAGGTATAAATAGATATGGTTTCTGCCCTTATGTCCCTCATGGTAAGCTAGGAAACCAAAGCACAGCAGGGTCAGAAATCAGGCCAGGCCAGAATGGGGGTGAGAGGGGCTCAGGAATGAGGGCAGGAAATTGGGCATCAGGCTAGATCAGTGTCATCAGTTTCTTTGCTTCGTATGTGAATAAGGAGACAGGGAATCCATGTGAGAGGAATGTTAGAACTAACTTGCTGTGGTTAGAGCCATACTGTGATTAGAGTGAATAAGCCAGGGCTCTTTAGAACTAGCAGTTTGCCTAAGAATTTTCCACACAGCTGCATAGTTCATTCCTTCCAGTTTTTTTGTTTTATGTGGAAGGATATGTCTTCCTGTCTTTCTTTAATGTCAATCTTAAAAGGAATGTACTCGGGGAATCTTAGGTAGGTAGGTACCCTTAATAACCTAAAATAAATTTATACAAATGTATCCTAACCTTGTTTAACTGTCTATATTAATTCTTTGGGGTATTATATTCCATCTGATTTCTTTTCTTTCTTTTTTTAGAGAAGTACTTAAGTAAGTTCTTATATTGGTACTAAGTTTATTATTTCATGTTTCAAGGTGAACCTTCTCATTCTAATATACTGGGTTCTGGTATGTAAGCCCATGTTTACCTTTTGGGATTTTGTAAAATCTGATCATTTATGGGAATAGTGAAGGTCAGGCTTTGTGGTCCAGCCAACTTTGAGGGGAAAGTTGAGGGTGTGTACAGGAAACAGATGGCCAGAACCAGAAGTCAAGGGCTGCCTAAAATCGTGGTTTTGATCTGAAGATAAAGGGCATGTAAGACCTTGGGCAAGTCCCTTTTCCTTTAACGTTAGACTTTGGCTTTCTCCTCTGTAGTGGGAGTCGGCGTTTTCTTTGGGGGATTGGTGGTGATTTTTACTTTCCTTTTACTTTTGGTATTACCTAAGTTTCTTTTACAATGATCATATATTACTCAAGTTAAAAACAAAACAATAAGGCAATTTTATATTTTGGAAAATGTGATTCTATGGTCCTACACATTGTGCTTAAGAAAACTTAACTTTCCTTTGGATTTAGGGAAATTAAGAAAGAACTCAACCCCAATCTGGAGTGGTGGTGGCGTAAATTAGCAGAAGTAGAGTGGCCCCAAGGCTCGGAGATGCAGGTTCATTTATTCACACACTCATTCAACAAATTTTTATTGGGCATCTACTCAGCTCCAAGTTCTATTTTGAGCACTGAGGACAGAGCAACAGAATGACAGAATTGGGAAGAGTGTGCATAATGCTTTTCAGCCTTTATAAAACCAAGTGGTGATCAAGAAACTACATTTTTATATCTTCAAATATAATATGGTCCTGGCCAGTGTGGCTCAGTTGGTTGAGTGTCATCCTATATATTGAGAGGTTGCATGTTCCATTCCCAGTTAGGGCACATACCTGAGTTGTGGGCTTGATCTCCTGTAGGGGGTGTGCAGGAGGTGGTGATGGATGTTCCTCTCTCCCCCTCACCCTTCCTCTAAAATCAACAAAAACAGATATATGTGCTGTACCCCTGTAGACTGTGTGGGGGAAGAGGGGCTGTGATTTTCCATCTGTCACCCACAAAGGCTTTCCAAATAAAAATGCCCTATTATTTTAATTAGTTGTTATTGAGTTTGACTAGCAGGTGCAGTTCTACTTTGCAATGATAAATAATTTAAAACTTGTACTCTCACCAGATGTTATAACCACAGATTAAAATAAGCCAGACTCTCATATATGTTATTCCTCAGAAACAGATCTTCATGCCATGCTGGCTTTCACGTGCTTGGCAATTACTCACCGCATCATGGCTGCCCTAAAACTGGTGCACACACACCTCATTCTGAGGGTTACAGTCCAGTCCATTTCAAGTCATCCAGCTCTCCATAATCTAGACTGCAAACCTAGTTAATAAAACCATCTTCCCTTCTTTGTCCTGAGCCTTAGCCTGTGCATCTTTTTGCTATTCGTCTTTTCCTGTCCTTCATTTGGCTCTCCCACTGAGTCCTTCAGATGAGGTCTTTAGAATGGTAGAAGGTACTTCATTCGGTCATCAAAAATATATATGTGAATACCTACAAAGTACAAGATACTGTACTGACCCATAATAATGAGTGGACAGTCCAGGCAATGTCCCAGTAGTCACCGAGCTCATATTCTAGGTGGATCAGAACTTTGGAGCAATGA